GTTCATAAGAAGTTAGAAAGTGATAGATCGTGCGAGGAAGTAAAATCAATATAGGCATTAGCTTACCTATCACCGAGTCGCTCTTCCATTGGAGGAAGACATTAACTAAATTAGAAATATATTAAATATCTCGGGTTTAGTTAAAACGCGGTCACCAGGCTTTACATGTTTTGAGTTAAATGTGTACATTTTGATGCATTCTTTATGCATTGCAATTGTTGAACTTCCAGACATTTCTCTATTGGGCAGCAGAGAAGATTTCTAATGCGCGATTTTTGGCTATAGTCGCCTGATGCGTAGCGAGAACTTCAGAAAGCTGTGGGAAATATTATGATAATTTTCCTTGCGCAATTTTTATGACGACATGCAGAATGCATGTGCTTTCACTTCGTCTCGTGAGCCTTCCCAATTTTCAAATGAAATAGGCGGTTCAATGGCATGCGCTGTTAGGTCTCAATAGCCACATCTTGCTGGTAATTTACAGCTACCACATCACAATCTATTTCTTAACGCAGCTAGTAGGGTGCCAATTAAATACACGGTAGGCTATAGTCCATCATGTTTCTGATTTCTCAAAGCATAAACCAAGCAGCCATCGATTTCCCTTTTTCTCCGGAATAGTTGATTTTAGCGCAAATAATAGTCATTTATAATAAGCAACTACCAATGATTATACAATTATTTCTACTTTATGACTGATGCTCACCAACAGGAACTTGAACTGGAAGCCTCCTTCTCCACGACAAGTGTGATCATGCTTTAACGCTTTGTGACCAATTCTATTGGGTTTTTTTGTTGGTTGCTTTAATTTTCTGCGTACCAACACACTGCCGAATTTACGTGTCTTAGCTTCTTCTCTTTTTTTTCCCAAGGACTCTCGTTACAACTCACGAGTTGTGAGGCATTCAGGGGCGACCAGCATTATTCGTTGTTGTCATTGTAGACAGTGGCATCCTCTGCTTTGCGCTTCGCTAACTAGTCGCCATAAAGTCCTTGCTTTATGTGAAACTGCCCCATGCGTGTGAGTCATAACCAGTTCAAAAAAAAAAGCATGGCGGCACACATGCCCCTCTATTCTCCTCATTGCTTCCTCATTGCGTTGTTGTTGTTGTTGTTGTTGTTGTTGTTGTTGTTGTTGTTGTTGTTGTTGTCGTCGTCGTCGTCGTCGTCGTTGGTTCTTCGCGCTTCGTTATGAAAAACACACACAATTTAATAAACATTTCTCGAATACTGTGACAGCGCTTGTTTTCTTGAAGAATGGGCACTTAGTGCGCAAGTGGAAATGGGCAAAACCTCTCAGTCTTCCCAGCTATTGCTCATTCTCTTCCTTACATCTATTGCTCCACGTAAAAGCGAAGTATGTATATAAACAGTCGAGCGAGTTGGCAAAAACGAAAAACATGGCAGCGCCGCCCACGAGCAACTGAATACCGCTGATGCGTTCCAGGATCTCAACGGCGCACTTCGGGAGCGAACAATTCGTCAGAGAACTTTGGTCTCGAGGGCCGCGTTCGCAGGGCTGGCTTTGAGTTCGCAAAATATGCCTGTCGTTAACCGGTGCCTCGGTTATATCGCCTGGCTGGCTGGTCGCTGACCACCCTTGCTAACCATTCCCTAATTGCTTCGTTATCTGCATTCACACGTTCCCACCTATAGTTATCATTTGGTGAATGCGACGGTGAAAACTTGAGAAAATTGTCTCTCACATGCGTGTTTATCGTCACTTGTGGTTAGGTTCCACGTGGAGTTCATGTGGACTGCTGCATATACCATCTTTTCGTGTTGTTTTTTAATGTGCAGGCTCACATAACCAGGGATATCAGCCCGCATCTCATCGGCAATGACTTGAATGAACGCGGGCTGAGAACTGTGTGCCGTCGCGAGCCAAAAAAAATGCCAACAAAAAAGTTTTTTATAGCCCTACTGTTCAGCATTCTCAATTTCACGTTCTATCTGTGGCTACCTCAGAACACCGAGGGAACACTGAAGATTCTAAAATTGATATGATTTCATCGACCTGACGCTGCAGCGCTCAACCTCGCATATCTCAATCGAGAGTACACAGCCGAGCCATGAAGAAACGAAATGGAATAATAGCAAACGAACAGCTTGCATCGATATATCTATTTCGAAGAATGATCTCGGTGAAACTAAAGTAAGGAACAAAAAACAGAACAACGTACTTGGAAATAATAAATTACCCAAGAAACGGAAGAAAAAAAGTGTGCCGCATAAGAGTCTGTAGGGTATCCGCCCAGTTATTAATGATGGAAGCACGTAAGAAGAGAAAAAAGAACAATGTTTTGCGGGCTCGAGCAGCCTGTCCGTTTTTGCTTCAAAGCGTAAAAAGATGACAAATGACTCAAACCCGAAATAGCTCCAGCAGTGCACTCCAGACTGTGATCTCGCTCGTGAACAGAAGTGGCAAAGGCGTGGTCAATAACATAGAACATGTCCCGCGTCCTCGGATAACCTTCGCGATAGATACAACGATGGGTGTGCGAGTCTCAGACGTCGTTCTTAAACACGCAGGTGCTACGCCGGGCGAGATTGCATTATTTAAATTAGTCACAAAAATTACATATTCTTGTTCAGGTGTGGGTGAACGGACAGTGGTGGTGTTAGCATAGGCAGTTCAGGGCCCTACGCTTGTTAGAAAAAAAGAGAAGCTCCCTGTCGTTTGACAACAAAAAGCGGCATTTCTTGGAAATGGCTTTTCGCGTTATTCTTATTATTGTTTTATTATTGGTTATATTGGCATACTGTACTCATGCTCACTGCACTGCGTGTATAAAATACACGCAACGCCATTCATTCAATTAATTGCTGATGAGAGGATTTTGAAGAAAAAAATAAGATGACATTTGCCATAGCAGTGGTATACCTCTCGCGTGCCGCAGCTGAACCCACAGTGTTTCAGCTTATTGATGATGTCCGATATCTTGTGTCTCGTAATTAGCTCAACACACTATGAGAACAATCAGTTGAGAACCTGACAGGCATTTATTTCAGCTATTGTTCTTTACAACCGAAGGAACACTGGAAAATTGTTCTTGGTTCAAATCTGTCGAACCTAGCTTCCCGTATAGCCACACCATTCTCTCCATGACAGTTAGACGACAACCTATAAAACACAACTATATAAAGGACCCCACAATTTACTTGAGTCAAAAGCAATGTTAATGCTGAAAGTTTCCCACAAGATATGAACGATAAGGTCGAATTTAGTTCAGTGGCTTAGGATGAAAAGTTGCGCAGAGCGTGCAGTTGATGCATGCGACAAGCAAACCTTTTCATTTGTTGATAGGCTGCATGATTGCGGTGAATTCGTACTGGTTTTTTTTTTTACCCAACTTGTACAAGCAGTGTGACAAACATTATTATATAGATATAAGTATTTTAGCTTTGAAAAAATAACCCCTAACATATTGAGTTCATATCAAGGCTTTGCTTCTGTATTTTTTCTGCGTACTTTATGACAAAGAGAATCTTAAGTGACTTATGTTTTGCTTGGAAAACGGTAGCTTTTATTTTCGCAGGGCTAAGCTCAATGTTTCTCTCCAAACGTTGTGGGAAATAGTTTAACAAGCAATACATTGCTGTTCAGCGAAAACGTTACCATTCAGTAGATATTTTAATATCGACGGTGTATCCATTAATTTCAGCTCTATGTTTATCCGTAGATATAAGTTTACCTGTGACAATGTTAATATTATATAATGATACATTCCTTGCTCAAAACGATATAGCATACGGTCGAGACACCAACATGACGATAACATCTGCATATACAACAATCATTACCGTCCTATCTATCTGTGCAATCTATAGAATATGTGCGCACTAAGGCACAGTTATTCAGATGCGCTGCCTGGCCAACACTTCACTTTATGTGATGGAACGAATGAGCAATAGCATTAGATATGAACAATGCTTTATCTGTGTAAATATAAGACTTTATCTTTTCTAGGACAATGCATTGTGAATTCACAACAGTTCATCTATGATTGTATTGTAACCAAATTTAGAAAAATGTAAATTCATTGTTTCTGGGTACACATTTTTAAAATCAGTCTCTTTTTTATTGTAGCACTCAAATACTAATTAAAGAAGTGTTGAATTATTTTTATTGGGTGAAAAATATAATTTGACACGCACACTTAAAAGAGAAAATTGAGGTGCCGCTTATGTGGCACGACTTATGACTCGTCACTAGATTTTTGTCATGTTTATACCCCGCAATTACTTCCCATGTTTTCCTGTAACAGGATGCAGTATCGATTTCAAAGCCAACCAAATGCGCAGCAGACATTGGCTATGATAGACATCAAATATTCTCAGACATGTCGTAGCTGTATCCTACGTACATCAGCGCATCTAAATGTTCACTGTTATCTCAGTTTATCTAAAAATAAAAGATCTGTGGAGTTATGGGTCCGGTTCAACGCAGGGGCCCTCAGCTGAATTGCTGGAGATAAATATTCTGGATAAACATTCGTTGCACTTGCCGATATCGAACATTATTAGTGCAACACGAGTACATAAGAACCAAATTGCACGATCGAGTGTCGTGTCTTTTTAGTGTTGGAATATCGTAGTAGACGAATGTCTACAGAAAGATTGTTGAAATCTTTTTTATTGCTATTACTAATTCGGCCCTCCTGCCTTGCTCTGTCAAGAACATCTCCACAGCAAGCTTACGTTTTCTTTATTTTTTCAAATATTGTCTGAAAAAGAACAAAAAGCACAAACGATGAAATGGCGCCAAGTGTACTGGCGATTTCTTTGCTCAGAAACGCCGCTCTCCAAATCAGTACACCGCCGATACTAAAGGACGCGGAAGGAAGAGATGTATTCTGAATGGAAAGTATTTCAGTAAAGGTATCCCAGATGTATGCCCGCCCGCTGTCGTCCCCATTCGCTGTGCTGCTTTTGCCAACTGAATTTGTCTATATTTTTGCTTGATCTCTAACGTACGCCCTTCGTGATTCGTTTTGCAGACGCAGAAACAGAAGCTGACTCTCCTGAACTTCGCTATCTGTCACGCTGGTAAGTGCTTCTTGTCGGCTACCTTTATTCTTTTTTTCACTGAAGCACACTAGCGGGGGTGGTGCGGGATAAGAAGAGAGATTGGAAGAGAAGGCTGCGAGGAGAGAGGGGCTCCTTTATCTTCGGCACAAAGTGCTATCCGACTGTCTTATTGTTTCATTTAGATCGCGGAACGGTCGACTGCCTCTGACTCAGCCTTGAGCGTCTCAGCGACGAGAAGAGCAGAACCAGTGTTCGTCTCTCTGAGCTCTCCTTCTTTGGCTTCTTCGTATATGACCGTTATTAAAGGGCATCCTACGCGTGTGTGTGCGTCTGCACTTTTTTTTAAAGATTGACCCCACAAACCGCCCGAAAGAGCAGTTCATATCTTTCACCTTATAACGATTCCCGAAATTGCTTAACGAAAGCTCTGGTACGACTAGGTTTTGTGTGGGAAATAAAAGAAACGGAATGACCTCGCATGACGCTAAACTATAGCTTTTTTCATAATCTCACCTTGTGACATTGTCACCGGTACAAATACCTACAGAACCCCTCGCTAGTGCGCCAAGGTGTGCCCCACCAATGATATGAGGGCTGAGTCCCGGAAGTGTCGTCCGAACTATCTTTAGAGCACCTGTTCAAGGTTGGGTCGTTACATGAAGCAGACTATATTTAGTCTCCTGCAGTCTTATAACTTAGATGACACGGAAGTGTAGCACCTTTGCTCTCGGACGCTGAACAAACTAATCCTGCCCGTGTGATGCCGAGTCCTCTTCATAAGTAAGACATGTGCAGCTTTCTGAGGTGGACGGCTGCTTCTTCCGTGTCGCTATCTGGGTTGGCTTGGCGAGACAAATTGACTGGGATCGCCGTGACAAAGTGTCGTGCTCTGTACTATTTGCTGTCGATGCGAGTCTCTCGCTCGCAACATTCTGGCGAACGTCGCCAAAAAAAAAAAAAATCTTCTCCCACCTTTCAAGCACAAAGAGGAAAAACAGCTTCAGTGTAATATAAATCCGCTGCTTGTGACAGTGGTGGTATGTTGTATGTGATGCTCCTGCGTGGGAAGTGCGCAAGCACGTCCGAAGAACTTTTTTCAGGGGGTTAAGGGCGCGGCACTCCGCCCAGGCAGCCCTTCAACTACCATTACATAACCTGCTTTATTAGGTAATATTGTGTAATCTCCAAAATTTCCTGGCAATCCGGAAGGTCGTCTCGGATATGCGAGACCTGAGTGTTCTGTGTAGCTTATTACTGTTGTACAGAAAAATATTCTTCGTAATTACGAGGCGGAAAGCGGCAGCCCCCGCCACCCCCACAAATGGATGCCCATGAAAATGTGTAAAAACTGTTCGTGCTGTGATGTGCAAACCATTCCGTCCATTGAATCATTGCATCGTATGTTTGTTTCCCTGATGGATATGCATATGTGCTCAGTGCTGCTTAACTTCAAGAAGCAGGTAACAAATATTATAAAAAATGACACCCGACAAGATAAGATACAATAAGATGAATCAATTTGTGCTCTTCTTCTTTTTCTTAGTCTTCGTGATCTTTTTGTCGACAGGCCAAATTAAATTTATAGGTGGTGGGCTCTATTGCCTCCTATAGTTTACATCAATATTTTGTCTAAAAAAAAACGAGCCCTTAAATTTACACTTCTTCCCTGTCAGCTTGAAGGCGACTCATCGCTGCTTTTCTTGACCATCACCAGCACGTTCTTACTAATATTCAATGGCGGCCAGCACAGCGTGAGCCAGATGATGGACCAATAGTGTTCTTTCGTCACGCTTTGGCTGCATTGGGGCATTGAAACGTTTCCAGACCAGTTAATTCTGTATGAAGTCTAAACAACTTTTTGTATAAAGGTTCGGGGTTCTATCCACTATGCACCGTATCTGCTGCTTTTATTGAATTTTCCTAATCATTTCTAGAAGTAATCAAAATCACGTATACAGGAATACGATAAATAACACTGAAGACACCCCACCCTAGCCATTGAGATTAAAGTTGCAGCACATTCTCTTCGCGAAAGCGCTCATTATACAATAACGCACTGGAAACGGGCACATGCTTACCACATTCCGCAGAAATTTCGTTGGTCATCGTGTATACCACAACGTTAATCGAGACACTATTGGTGCGTATGCATCCATCGCAAGGCGTCACGTTCTTGCCTTCTTCGTTGACCGGTGCTCGCGCAACATTGCACGCGCTGTCTGCGAAGTTCACAATTTCGTGAACCATAATCACTTGAGCATCAACGTATCGATTCGTCTCTGACTCACAACAACAGCCCGCGTTCATTGTGCTCAGCGTTTACAAACAAAAAAAAACTGGACCTCACTTGTGATTTCTTTGTTTTTTCGTCTACTGTCCTAAATAATGGACCATCACCCTGCCATGGCCGGTTGACAACGTAGGCGCGACCGCCCCTGTGTATGCTCGTCATTATCCAGAGGTGCGCTCGAGAGGCAATCAAAAGCGGGGCATAAAAAGTAACACGTTGTTCGTAAGATTGGCGCGACGGCGTCACCGTTCGACGATGCAGCGTCGTCGCCCTGAAGGCCGTTTTTTCCACCCTTCTGTATACATGCATGCATTCATGCAAGCTGCAGCCGCCGGCAAGTGCGGTGAATGACCAGCGCGCTCAGCTGCTTTCTGTGCAGCGCACGCGGCCGGCCAGCCGCTCATCAATATGCATCCTGCCGAGGGAGGCAGCCTGTTTGCGACAATTATGCGTGTCGTGTACACGGCCACTTCGTGCGATGCTCCTCATCAACACGGAGCTGTCGCTTCGGAACCGCTCGTTGATCGCGTGCATGTGACGCACCGCCCAGGCCGATCCGCGCCACCGACCGACAGTGGTATACGAGGTGCGTCTCGCGGCAACGTCGGGTCACGGGATGTTTCGGTCTCGGCACTGTTTGGTTTCCTACCGGTGTCTGTTATCTGCGCAGCCTCTCTGTACGGATAATAATCACGCAAGGGCGCACATACGTGTCACCCCCAAACGTTGAACCTTTCCAGCCCGTTTCTGTCAAATCAGTGGCTTTCTCGCAGCACTCGCACCTGCTGAATACCTAGCTACGAGAAGCAAATGCATAGTTGACGCAAGTACACAATGTGCGATATTGCCGTGGAGCCGAGTTTATTCTCTTTCTATATTCAAGGGTGGTCATTGCCCATCTACTGTAACTGGAGCGCCCTATATAGCGGTGGTTTTCGACCGTTTCAAGCTAAATAAACTATTTGTCATCTTGTAGTGCCTCTGCAATGGTTATATAGAAGGGAACACCAGTGGTTTGACTCGCTGCAAAATAAATTCTGAGCGAATGTGATTGGCTCAGCTAATGTAAATTATTTATTGGAATGGTATTAATATAGCGTAGCTCCATGACACAACTTCGTTTAAATTACGGCAGACGTTTTAGTTACCTAGCTACCTCCACACAAGCCCTTTCACTGCCTACCATTAAGGACAGTATACTCGCAGTAAATATTATAATTAGCAAAAACACAAAATAGAGTAAGGCAACTATGTCAAGTACGAACATCGCATATATGGTTAAAACTCATTTAGGCTTTCAAATATGGCTTCGTTGGGCTGGCTGAAGTGATAAGCGCCGAAAAGTACTTGCGGGTGATATCGTCTGAAAGACTTATCTAAGATAACAGGGTGTGCTTGTAATTTTATAATACGAAGTTCACTAAAGCTAACCAATTTCAAAAAGTTGGTTACCTCTCGTAACTTGTCGGAGACAGTGAACTAAGAATGAGTTCGCTTATGGCAGTCGTAGAGGCAGCCTTTCAGTGGAGCAGCCACTATCTTTGAACTGGTAATGAGAGCTAGTGGTGGTGGGGCCAGACGGTACGCCGTGAGAATGCGGTTGGTCGGTGATCCGGCAGCACGCGTCTTTCTTCCTCGTTTAGGACACGTTATGTGATTCTTATGTGATACTTAAAGGGAAAAGAAAAGTGAGCCCCGTAACTGTCTGCATCAGAGTGCGACACCTCAACAGTAGCTCACAAGGGATGAGGGTAAGGAGTAATTAAAAGGATAGGATTAAATGTATATATAGAGAGAGGAAGGAGAGAGCGAGGCGCAGGGACAGCGAGCGACGGAAGTAAAGAGGAGATAGGAAAGGTGTAAATGGTCGCAGGAGTCAGAGGACGGGGCACCACTCGACGAGAGCTCATGTCAGCTGCAGGAGATGGCGTAGGGGGAGCCCAGTCGGCCAGAGCTGCGCTGTCGTCGGAGATCGCGGGGGCACAACCGGTCGGCACAAAATCTAGCGAGCGAGTCCGCCGGTTTAGAACACGTCGCAGTGATAGCGTTAGTTAAACGTGTAGTTATGGGCCTGACTCTCTAGCTCTTGCCGCTTAACTAACCGACTACGCCTGTGAACGGGAGACAGAGCGTTTGAGATATAGCTTATAATGCGCTAGTTTACGAAAAACTGAAGGATCTGCAAATGATGTACCTGTGTGTTGTCGCTCTGGAAGCGTGTATCATGACGAAAGTACCACGTACTTCAAAAGACTTGTCCTTTTCGCATACTTTGCGCTAGTCACTCACCATCAGCTGCGGACGTAACTAAGGCCCCTGGAGTCGCCTACAAGCTATAACTAGAGGAAAAATTAAGTTCAGGCGTAACTAAGTCCTCTGGTGTCGCCTACAAGCTATAACTGGAGGAAAAATTAAGTTAGTGCAACTCAATAGATGCAAGCAGTTTGATCTCTTTCAGCGAAACGCGTGCAGGGCCGCTGTATGAATTGCGCAACAGACTGACCGCATGACGAGGCACACCATGTGAAGATGATACTATATATGCAACTTTGTGGAGCTTTGACAGATTGCGCACGGCAGCATGATGATGATGATGACGACGACGACGACGACGACGATGATGATCCCCTCATATTGCTTGCACTCACCCACAAAGGGGATCGGCCAAGAACCGGGAGGCAGGATCTTTATGTTTGTTGGTTATGTATCTAAAAACATCCCGTAGAAT